TTCTGGGCCTCAGTCTTCTCCTCTGTAAAATGGGAATAGCAAATACTTCCAAGCCTTCTCGCAGGGTAGTGTATGTGAAAGGCTCCCTAGATGGGGGGTATCAACTTGGCTGTTTCGCCCATTTTCCATCAGAAGATGCTTGGTTAGCGTGACCTGCCATTTGACCACACTGCTCAGCACACATGGTTGTCACCAGCCTCAGAGGTCTGTACCCGGACATACCAGAGTCCTATGCATACCATGCAGGCAGTGGGGGCAACAGAGGGTTAACGGGGAGAGGGTGGCCCCCTCGAAGCCAAGCTGTGCCCACAGTGGCACCAGCTGAGTTGAGGTCACAGTCCTCCTGCCTCGACAGGCCCTAAGTGATGAAGACTCGTCAAGGTTCTCTTTCCTTTTTCTAACAGTCATAAACACCTTCTTGGGGGTGTGCCTGTGGAGATCACACACCTGTGTAAAACTAAGAGAAAAATACTGGTGGGTGCCCAGGGCTTCTCACTACAAACTGCCCATTAGGAAGCCAGAATATTTTGTTTTTTGTTTTGGCAGGGCATAAACCACGAGGAAGACTTTATTGCCCTTTTTCTCTGTCTTCCAGGTTGGCAAGGGGAAACCTGTGGGTGTGACTCAAGAGAGAAGACAGAAGTGAGGGTCCCCGCTGCCCTGTGCTGAGTGCTGAGGGCCCCACCCAGGGGAGCTGGCTGATGGACCCGCCTGGGCACAGGCGTGTGCGAATGCTCCGAATTCCAGACTCAGCTGGAGAGGAGAGAATCCCACAGCTCCAGGTCGTGCTCTTTCTAGCTCCCCTACTTCCCAAAGCAAGGCCCTCCCGCCACTCCCATTCGGGCTACTCGGCCACCTGGAAGGTGAAAGCTGGGGACTGTGACCTTCTGGTGACCTGAGCAGTGAAGAACCACAGCTGCACAACGGCCATTCCCTGAGCTGGTGTCCTGGGACCGGCGAGACTAGGCCTCGCCTGGAGGAGTCAGGCGGCTGCAACCCTGCCTACCACAGCCAGAGAGTGACACATCTCCAACTCCGCCCAGGGAGCCCAAGGTAAGGCCTTCTTAGCTGGGAGTCGCGCTAAGAGGCTTGGAGGATCTCCACCAGCCTTATATCCCTGACACGTTGGCCTGAAGGAAAATCTGATCTACTTGCTGGTCCCTAGGGGGCATCAGGAGTGACAGTCATTTCATTGAAAGCTGACAGGGAGAGCTGACCCCTGAGAACTCTTAGGATCCTTCCTCACCCTTAGGATCCTTCCTCACCTTAGAAATTAGCCATGGTCAGGTAGTCACTCTGCCTTTTACCTGGTCTTGCTGGAGGCCGGAGCAGACTAGCTTCTGCTTCCAGACCCAGCACTGCCAGCCTCTGGCTGGGGTGACATTGATCACTGCCTCCAGGAGGAGCTGCTAGGTGGTCAGAGGACTGGTTAGGGTCTGCCCTCTCCTGCGACCAAAACCCCCATTGAGTTATGGAAAATATCCCCATGAATAAGGGAATTACAGATTTCCAATCAATTACCTTGGCCGTGTGAGAACAAACAACACATCTGCCCTTGACCCCAACAAATCTGCAGGAAGGGCTTGCCCAGGTATAGAGAAAACCTGCTTCTAGGCTTAAAATAGACAAAAAAGGTCATGCAAGTCACGTTCACTGAGTTAAAAAAATAGGTTAATTTTTAAAGGTACCTTCAATGAGTTAACCGCTGATGAATGAGGGAAACCACGGCATTAAGTTTAATGTTCTGGCTGAGACTTGAATAGAGCAGAACGTGTTTGTTCTCAAACGCTGAACTCTCAGTTTTCAATCCAATCAAAGGGTTTTGCAAGTTGCTGTCTAATCCTGGCAGCAGGTGGAACTGCACGTCCAGCCTGCCTACCCGCCTGCCAGTCTGTGTCTGGGCCGCTTTGGGCTTCAGAGTTGGGATCGTCTGAACAAGTGTGGTTCTTGGACCACTCAGGGTGGGATGCTGTGAGTTTGTTCACTGAGGCCCATTCACCAATGGAGCCACAAGCCACATGGGCAGTTATGATAGAGACAGGGCTCAGAGATCCTGCTTGGGGATCCTTGGGTCTGTCCTCTGAGGTTGCTTCTTGGTCGCCTGGTCCTGGTCTTGCCCTCCTTCCATTCCTTGTATACCCTACGTGTGGCCCAGGGCTAGCAGAATAGTGTCACCTTAGAGCTTGTTGGAAATTTGAAAGCACAGGCCCCCAAAGGCACCAGAATCTTCATCTGCAAAGAGCCCCAGTGACCTGCCTGGGCGTTAGAGTTTGGGAGGCAGTACCTTGAGAGAGTCTCTATCCTGCAAGCAGCATGGTATCGGGAGCATGGATCTGCTGGGTCAGTGATCTTTGAGCATGCCCAACAGGACCCTCTGTGTCGGGCCACTCATGAACCTTACCTGCTACCTCTCTCCCCATAGCTCTCTTCTCTGTATGAGTCCCAGCCCCGGCTCTGCCACTCACTTGTCATGTCATCCTCGGCAGGTCACCTGACTTCCGTGGACCTCAGTGTATTCATCTGTAAAGTGGACACAATGAGGGCGATCTCGCAGTTTTGTTGCAAGAATCAGAGATCACGGGGTGAGGCTGGAAGTCTTTCAGTCCTGCTTCTCTCTCTGCCTCACCCCCAGGCATTCTGTTGCCTGCCAACATTTTTGTGATGTACATTTTTAGGAGTCAAATAGTAAAATCGATTGCCTGCGGAGGGTGCCATGTCATACGGTGGCTGAGCAGAGCATTAGCAATGCGACCGAACGGGCCAGGGTTTAAATTTCAACTTTCTCACGTATGGCTGCACTCTTCTCTGAACCTGTTTCCTCTTTTGGAAAAGTAGGGGTGCCAGGAAGGTCATCTGATGATTAGAAGAGATGAGTAATGCCTGCGAAGTGCCTGGCACACAGGACACACCCCTGGTGGCACAGGGAAGTGGCCAGGAAAGTGGAAACAGTGCAAACATACAGCGTTCTTAATCATACTGCTATGCCCTTTACCCTATGTACGACAGCCTTTGGCAGTCAGACTGGTCCTGACAGCTGCTGCTCTGCTGTTGGCCTATGGAGCCTGGCTCTGCACATCACCATGGTTGCGCCTCACCCTCGGCCTCCTTCCTGGCTCAGCCAGCACACTGGGCAGGGCATCTCATGCTGCTCGGCTCACAGTGGCCTGGCAGGAGACATGAGTCTGACTTGTAGACTGGAGGCCCAGGCTGTGCATTAGAAGCACGCAGGAGCTTTGAAAACCACACATCTCATTATCACCCCCAGACATTCATCAGCTTGGTCTTCGGTGTGGCCTAGAAGCTCCCCAGGTGGTTCCAATACACAGCCGGAGTGAGGGGTCTAAAGGAGGATGAGCAGGACAAGCTAGAGGGAACTCCATCCTGGTTTGCACCCAGAGGAGGATTCCTTGTCTGATCCCCACTCCAAAGTGGGGGCTACACAGAATGCTAACCTCCCTAAAAAGCAGAAGCCTCAGCTCCCACAAGCAGTGAAATCTCAAGTGAACTCGAAACCAACACATTCTGTCCTTGATGAACAGGAATGTTTTTTGTTCCTCCTTATGAAAGCAAATCAAAGCAGTTTAGCCTCAGCCATTCAAAGAGCAGCTGGTGACTGCATGGGGTCTGTCCTGGCGCACACTGTCCATCTCCCCTCACCTCTTACATCCCCCACCAAGAGCACCAGCGGTGGCAGGGCAGCCCAGAGATGTGGCGCAAATCCAGGGCCTCATCTTCCCCTGAGCTGACAGCATGTGGACCCTCTCGTTACTGGAGACAGACGCTGCAGAATGGTCCATTCTCAGAAGCATTCTCGGCACAAAGGGTTAAAACCCAAACAGGCTTCCAACTCATCAATCAGATCCGTGTGTCCCTGAGCCCCGCTCCACTCCAAACCCCTTGGATTCTCTTAGTTTTCAGGATTCTGCAAAACAAACTAAACAGGCCTTAGCCTCCCCCGCTGATGCAACAGCCCCTGCCGGCTCCGGAAAGCAGCTGCCCCGATGGCTCGCACACCTGTGGCCAGAGTGGCCCGACATGCAGGTGATACCTGGCCTCAGGGGACGGTGCAGCAGGGGTTGAGAGCTGGGGGGGGGGTTAGCTTCCTGCCTGGTGCTGCTGAGAGGCGCTGTGCCAGACACCAGTGATTCTCCCCTGGCGGGTGGGAGGAGACAGGGCACCCAGCTCTGCACCCGCAGCCTGTTCTCAGGCTGAGTCACTGCACACAACAAAAGATGCTCCTATTGGGAAACTGCTTTGCCCGTGGGCAGCAAAGTGGTGGCGCTGCTGTCCCAGCTTAAACACAATGTGCCCTTTGGTCACACCTGGCCCCGCCCTGACTTCTGAGCCAACTCCTACTCTGAGCCTCTTCACAGAGCTTCTCCCCAGGCAGGACCCATCCCACGGCGGCTCTGGGCGGCTCCACCACTCCAGCTCATTCCACACTGAGCCAGCTCCTCACAGCAGCACTCTGCACAGCCACACCCCAGCCACCGTGCCCCATGGAGCCACCCAGCTGGCGCCCAGCATAGGGAGAGGGCACTCACTTGCAGAATGAGTGGTCCCCGGAGTAGTGGGCAGCTGGGGTAGACAGCAGGGTGGGTGGGGGGGTTCCAGCACAGAGGGAGGGGCAGTCACATCCCAGGGACCCCCTTCGCAGTCCAGGGAGATGCGTTCGAGACTCCAGCACCAGGAGTGGTGTCGGGGTGAGGGTGGGGACAACTTAACATGGGTTCAGGTTCGCTCAGAAAACACCTGCTTCCTCCACTAGTGTCTGTAATTAGGGGCTGATTGACGCTTGGGTCCCCCCAACCACAAATGAGGCTTGCCTTCAATTCATGGGAAGATTACAGATGTGTACTTGGGAGGTGGAGATGGGGGAGAGAAGAGGGGGTGGTTGTGGGAAGACAGACACAGAGAGGCAGAGACAGAGAAAGAGACAGAGACATAGACAGATGGTGGCATTGCTTCTTTTCTGGGGATTCTTAGGGACAGCCACTCACCAGTTCCTTCCTGAGCCAGGCTATAGCTTCATCTATGCTCTGAAAGCCTTCCAGCTTGCCACTGGACAGGGGTCTGGTGTCCTGGCTGGCACTCCTGGCAGGAGGGGGTTGCTGCTCGGGCTCTCTCAGGGGAAGCAAGGGCTCCTGCCCCCCACGCTCCCCCTCCTCCATGCTCGCCTGTGGCTCCGCAGCTGCAGCCGCCCTTGGGAAGGGCCAGGTCTGCTCCTCCAGCCTGGCCTGCCATTCCAGGTAGGAAGGCCTCCGGGTCTCCAGCCTCAGTTTCTCAGTGAGGGCCTTCAGGCTCCGGAGGTGGTCATCGGGCGGTGCGGCTCCTGCCTCCTCCTCTGCACCCACGTCTTCCACGTGGATCTGGGGCACAGACATTCTACAGTCTGTCCTGGGAGCCGGACATGGGAGGGGCTGAGGGGCTGAGGCGGAGGCTTGGTGGGTGGCACAGTTGGGTCCGGCTCTGGGATGGCCTCATCCAGGTGCCCGAGGGCATTTCCGGGATGGCAGCCGGCCTTGGAGGATGGTGGCTGGTCAGCGGAGAGGAACTGCACAGTGAGCTGCGCAGGGCGCCCTCCCAGAGGCTCCGGTCTATGATCCGTCCTGGAATCCTGTGGGTGCCATGCTCTGCAGAAGGCAGGAACAGACAGGCGTCGCAGGAATCTCAGGCAGCCCGTGCCAAGGTCTATCCGTCCTGAAGGTGCTCGAAGACCAGACTGGCGGGAAGAAGGCCCAGAGCTCCCTCCTCTCAGGAAGGGCAGGCGGCTGATGATCCTGTGGGAGGGGTGAGAATTACATCAGTCCTGATCCCTGCCTTGCCACTCAGAGGTGGGCACGTCCACTCCACAGGAAGGGAAACGGAGGCTCAGAGTGGACTGTGACCAGGCTTCTCGTGGCTAGTCCGGAATGAAAGTGACACCATTTCAATGCCTTAACTCAGTGCAGAAAAGTTAACAACCAATTGATAAACTGTGCAGTGTTTTACCATTTATAAAATGACTCCGCCTCTACTATCTCATTTAATGCTCCCAGCAAGTCTGCAGGGATTTGTTTGTATTCCCATTTGCACACAAGGAATCCACATCTAGAGGTTAAATGACTCACCGAGATCTCCCAGCAAGAAGTTGGGGGGACAAGCTCAGGCTGTCTGAATCTGAAAGCGCAGGTCTCTCCTCTGTGTGGCAACAGTGGGAGGGTCCCCAGAGCCACCAGCTGAGCAGCGGCACCCCACGCAGGCTCAGGTGTGTCTGCTCCATCCAGGTGCCACTGGCCCCTCACCACCTCCACCCACCGCAGGCCCTGTCCTCCGGCAGCAGTTCTTACATCCAGGTCTTACTCCACACTCCCAACTTCCTCCAAGAACAACACTTTACCTCACCTCTTCAGAGACAGAAGCAAAGAAACCTGCAGCTGTGGAGGGAAGAAGGCGGTGGCATCCGAGCTGGACGGCTAAAGGAGCTGGCTGTGACTCACTGTTCTAGAATGAGGCTTCTCGCGTTCACCTAAGTGTCTGCACAGCAGCCTGTCTTCAGTAAGGACTCCAGCTAGGGGATCTGATTTGACCTCCCCAACTCCAGACAGGAGGCATAAACCCAGGCTTCTACCCTGTAACACCAGACGTAGGGTGCAAACCTAACTCCCAGTAAGGAGAGACCCCAGCCTCCAGACTCTGCAGCTTGAGGTCCACAGGGCGGGCAGTGGAGTTGGGTGAATCAAAGTAGGAAATACATGATTTGGACCCAGGCGGGAAGCCCTGGGCTTTCAGGGTGAGTTAAAAAAAAAAATCTGTGCTGGGGGACATGCAGCTATAAACAAGAATGAATTGATGTGGAATGATGCCTAAGATAAAGCTGAAATGCAGAAAAGCAAGATGCTCAGCAGTCTGGAGAGCAGGCCGCCCTTGGGGTGAAAAAGGAGAAAGGAAAAGGGATTGTTATTGACTTGTAAATGCCTAAAAGCATCCCGGCCAAAAACAAAAAACAAAAGGAATGGAATAGCCATAGCCATGGTTACCTGTGTGGACTGAGGGGAGCCGGGCAGAAGGGAGGTGAGGAGAGGAGGGAAGGAATTAAGATGCGGGTGGCAAAAGCTGAATGGTGCGCAGGCCACTCGAGCTGTCCTGGGATTCCTCTCCGACACGACTTGAAGATGCTTTAGAAGGACGGACAGAACTCTCTGGTCCAGACCTTTTCCTCAGCTCCAGCCTGTGGGGGGCCTGCGGCCGGAGGACACCCTGCTGCCCCAGCCTCGGCTGCCCTATGCTATGAGCCTGTCCCTGCTGAGGGACATCCATCGAGAATGAGAAGGAACAGTTCACCCCAACTGGTAAGCAGAGAAACCTGCTCTCACCTCCAGCCCTGCTTGGAGCAAGTGAGAATGCCCCTGAGGAACTGGATTCCGGTTCAATTGGCCTGAGATGGGATGCACAGCAGCCTTCGGCCCCCGGATCTGAGTGTGCGGCCAGAGTGGAGAGACACCATCTCCAGACGCAGGCACTAGGCTTGGGGGCAGATGGCCTAGCTCCAGGTCTGGTCAGGCTTACTAAGCCTCATGTTCTTCATCTGTAAAATGGGGGTGATACATACCAACTTCCCATGCCCTAGCAGAGTGGCAGAACTAAAGCTCACAGGCACTCTCTGAAGACTTAGCGCGCTAAGCCTGCAAAAGTGAAATGTACTCATGGGAGTCTTCCGTGCAGTTTCACAGTCAGAATCTGTCCAAATCTAAAGACTTATTAGCTACTTTCTGGAGCCCCTCCCAGGCGCCGTCTGCCTCTTTGCTGAGGTGCCAGGATCTGTTTTGAGCGTGTCTGGGGCAGCTGTACTCACAGGGCTTCCTTCTGACTGGCAGGGAGCTCTGATTAGATCCGTCAAAGCTTTCTGGAGAAGATTCAACTGCAGATAGATGAGCAGTGCCCTACCTCCCTGGGTTCTGTGGGCAAATACCACGGACCAGGAGCCATGGTGGCCCACCCCGCCCCCGGCAGCAGGCACCCACTGCAGAGGTGAGGGCATCCCACCGCTGCTGGGTAAGGGGCTCCTCTTGGGGTAAGAAACACTACATGTCTGTAACTGTATTGCAGGGAATTATTTCAATTATTGTTGTTTTTTTTTTTTGAGATGGAGTTTCACTCTTGTCATTCATACTGGAATGCAATATAGCAATCTCAGCTCACTGCAACCTCCAACTCCCAGATTCAAGTGGTTTTTCTGCCTCAGCCTCCTGAGTAGCTGGGATTACAGGTGGCCGCCACCATGCCCAAGCTAATTTTTTTGTATATTTAGAAGAGATGGGGTTTCACCACGTTGGCCAGGCTAGTCTTGAACTCCTGACCTCAGGTGAAGGCCTGCATGGACCATGTCAGGACTACCTGGTGGCACGGGAGACAGCCCCTGTGAACTGTGACCAGCTAGCGATGGTTCTCCGATCTGCTGAGCTTGGTGAAATGCAGAAAACACGGTGTGCACATCTGCCCATGTGAGCCTCAAAGCAGCCCCCAGAGGCAGGTGGGACCACCCCATTTCACCAAGGAGCAATTGAGGCTAGGGCAGGTGAAGCGCCTCGCCCGTGGCTACAGGCAGGTGCCAGCAGCTGGACTTGGGCACAGCCATTTGACTCTGTCAGTCTCTTTCTACTGTGGAGAGTGCGGGCTCTGGGGCTAGAGTCCCAGTGCAGCCATTGGCTCTGTGACATTGGCACGTTGCTTCTTGACCACTCTGGGCCTGTGTCCTCTTCTGAGAAATGCAAACAACCAGGCTATGTAATCTGCAAGGCTCAGCGTGAAATGAAGATGCAGGGCTCCTTGTTTAAAAAGGTCTAAGAATTTCCAGACAGTGATGGCAGAGCATGAGCCCGAATCGAGGGCCCCCGTGCCACTGCCTGGGCCCCACAGCCACGAGCCCAGCCCTGGGGATGGTTACATCCACCTCGAAGTCACCCAGGGGATTTAATAAGGTTATGAATGTGAGCTCTCAGCCCAGTGCCTGGTCTACAGGAAGCCCTAGACACAGTCCTTTAGCCCTAGCCATACTTTTTAAATGTCATTATTAGGCTGGGGGCAGTGGCTCACGCCTGTAATCCCAGCACTTTGGGAGGCCGAGGCGAGCGGATCATCGGATCAGGAGTTCAAGACCATCCTGGCCAACATGGTGAAACCCGGTCTCTACTAAAATACAAACAATTAGGGGGGCGTGGTGGTGTGCACCTGTAATCCCAGCTACTCAGGTGGCTGGGACAGGGGAATTGCTTGAACCTGGGAGGCAGAGGTTGCAGTGAGCTGAGATCACGCCACTGCACTTCAGCTTGGCGACAGAGCAAGACTATTTTAAAAAGTCATTAAGACGATGTAACTTTCAGAGTTATGTCACAGTCACCTCACAGATCATGTCGCTCTGGTGCTCTCTGACCTGCTGGGTGGCCCAAGCCAATCTCTGTGCCCTCACATCCTTCTCTGGACACCAAATGACATGAAGTCAGTTGATCCCACCTCCCTCAGATTTTCAGGTCTCAAAAATCTCAAAAAAAAAAAAAAAAAAAGGGGCCGGGTGTGGAGTGCTTTTAGAATGTGAACAGCTCCTTGCCCCTCCCTTCCCTCCTTGCTCACACTGTTAATGCTCCGCCCACAGCTCTGGGTACGGGTGGGGGTGGGGTGGGGGGGGTGGGCGGTGGACACTCCACTGTGTGGTCTCTGCATGGGAGACCAAGGCTAGGCCCCAAAGCCTGGTTCCTGGTACCAGCACTGCTGGGGAGCCAAGCACTCAGGCTCAATCCTCTCCTCTTGGCCTCAGTTTCCTAATCTGTGCAATGGCTGAGGATCTATGGAACCTGGTATGTGAAAGCTGTCTTCAAACTGTAAAGAGCTGTACCCACCTGCACAGCCGTGTGTGTGACATGGAGAGGCCTAAGTTAGGGAGTCACCATTTTAGAGCTCATGGTCACCTATAGCTAGCTGGCAGGAACAGAGTTGCCCCCAGCACACCAGACCATGAGGAGCTGCTGAATCAGCATGTGTTTTCCTGGTCGTCAGTGTCGGGAGCACTGTCCCCCTGGGTGCCCTGATGCCCGAAGAAGCCCAGAGGGGTTTCTTTCCTCCCACTAGGTACAGGAGCTGAGCTAGAATGTCACTCACACAGGCCCAGGGATGTGACAGCGGAAAGGCTTGTCACTGCGCACTGGGCACTGAGCTGGACCCAGCCTGAGCCGGTGGAGAGGTGCCAGCCGGGTGCCGGGGAACAGACGCCAGCACTGGGCAGCTTCCTAGGCTTGAAAAGCAGTGGAGGCCTCCCCTCCTGCTGGACAAACCAGGGACTCCTGGGGCCTAACCCCCAATACTCTAAGCAAAGGAGCTTTCTTTACACATAACCTGGGTCTTTCCTGGGGGTGGAGGAGCCGGAGAAGGAGGCCAAAGGATGCTGCCAGACCTGGGACCCGAGGTGTCTAGAAAAACGAGATCAGACCCCACCAGGCCCAGGCACGCCCCGCCAGGCAGGCCACCCGGCAAGCAGGGGGGACAAGCCCTCGGGGGCACGTCAGCCTTTCTGCTGCTCAGTGTGCCAGCGCCGAGGACCCATGCCACACACAGGGACTGCTGTTCCAACACGCTCCCTGGCTCTCTGGCCCACAGCGGCCCCGTGAAGGAGCCTTCGCCAACTATGAGTTAATTCCTCTGGCTGCTGGAGGAGCCAGGTGGGGGCAGCGCAGCCAACACCTTGTCTCAGTATGACCTAATCTGTTCACCTGGAAAAGCATCAAGTCCACTTCCTCAATGGGCTCCC